ACAGCTCTGTTTAATAAAATATCATACAGCAGTGGAAGTGAATTACATGAAATGCCTCTACGAAGGCACAGCTTTCTATTTGTGGTTTCAGTCTTTTCCCCCGTCATTTAGTCTTGTGCTCTGCCTTTGTATTATGTCTTTTTTTATTCTCGTCCCCCCCTGCCCTTTCCTTAGCTGTTTTCCTGCACAGTTGTTTGTCAGACCGTTTTAGAACATTTGCAGAGAATGAAGCCATTACTGTGTATTACAATGGTCCTATTCTCTCCCCAGTGACCTGAGTAAGAACCAGATTTCTGACATCGCTGCGGATGCTTTCAGTGGTCTTCGTTCGCTCACCTCTCTGTAAGTATGCAAACACAAAAAGACCCACCTATAAACCCACATATACCCAGAAAACAAAGTAATTGCATTCACAGATAATTTGCAGAAAAAGGTTGTCAAACGTTGACAGCTAGAAGTCAAAGACAGGTGCGCATATTCACTCCTGTGTTTCTAAGGGTGTGTGCAGTGACAATATGAAGGACAGTTTAATTTGACTAATTTTTAGAGAATACAAATGAGAGACGAGAAGGGGCAGACAGGGTGAACTGCACTGAAAAAATTACTGTACAAATACTGTCACAAACTCTCAGTCAACTCAGCTGTACATCAATTACACTCAGTTTTGATGAGTTTGTTACTAAGTAAAGAAATATTGCCGCTCTTCTTTAACCTTTTGGGTTTTAAAAATTGCACAGTTGAGGAGAACATTTAGATTGAATACTTTCTTTTCCAAACGTTCGTGATGGCCTCAGCTTTATTATTTCCAAGGGGCACTGGTAAGCCCTTGAAGTCATGTTTTCATGTTTAATTGTGCAATTTAAAAACTTTTAGATTCTCTGTTATTTGCAGGGTGCTTTACGGAAATACGATTACTGAGCTCCCAAAGGGATTATTTGATGGACTGGTCTCCCTGCAGCTGCTGTGAGTACTATCTATTTAGTATTGGTTCTTATGTATGACCTCACCTATTCACAGACTTCCTCAACAGACACAAAGACCCATTACTCACATAGCTTTATAATTAGTTAAAAGTACGTTTATGTTCAGTAATTCAGGAAAGGCAAAACAAAAATGTAAAATACAAATGTGATTGTTCTGTGGCTTGATTTATTAATTTACACAACAAATGTATTAATGTTTCATCCTGGGGACAAATGTATTCCTCTTAATTCATTCACATTTCAGAAAATATCCAGGAAAAAAAACCTTCAAATGAATATTCATTTGTAGAAAACTGTCCATAGTTACAGTGCATCTGTCAGTTATGTAACCTTAAGTAATTCAATCAACGAATACAAAGTCTCCAGAGATCATTTCACATACCTGTCAGTGCATAAGTAATACGTCCTGGGATAATCAATACGAAGAACAGAAACCAAAAACAAAAAACGTACAAACAAATTAATGCTTTTTATCCTATCCAGTACATTACCAAAATGTACATTTCTGTAGAGTGAGGTCTTATTTGTGCTTTAAAGATAGTACTGAAAAAAAAAAAAAAAGCGATTACTGTTGACTTAGCTTCCCTCATACACCAAAGCTCCATCAGTTGTTTCGCACATTCTTAAATAAAAAAAAAACAACACTAATTATCCTGTAGTAAAAACTTTATTCTCTCTTAGTTTTTCAATCCAGTGGCACACTCCAAGGACTATTCACAACTATTCATTCTGAGCAATTATTCGCCGGCACACTTGAATTGAAGCGCTGGTTCAGCATGCTGTAAAAATTTCCACCGCAGGTGTATGAGTACTGTATGTGGCATATGGTCCTTGCGAATGCCGCAGTCCACTGCAGGAGCGTCTAATGTTCTGGGCTCTTCCATCGTAAAGGGACGTGAAGCAAAGAGAATGAGGATGAGTGCAGCTAATCCACAAACACATTTTGCAGTCTTAAAGGATCATTTGGATGCAAGGTGCATGCTCAGAGACAGAGAGAGGGAAAGGGGGGAGATGGATGGATGGATGGATGGATGGATGGATGAAGAGTGAAAGATGGAAACCGACATATTGTCCTAAAGAGAGCAAAGTGAAGCAGACACTCGTGTTCATGTATGCAGGAAGTTACATCGTTAATGGTTCACATCTCCCTCAGATGGGATTTTTCAGCAGGTAAAAAAAAAAAAGTTAAACTTTAAATCAATTATTTGAAATATTATGTCCATGCCTTTGTGGCCACTTAAAAATATCAATTTTGCGCATTTGTGATTTACACGTTTAAAGAATTAACAACATCCTGAATAGTTCATATTTGTGTCCTGCCACAATATAGGGCCATTTTTAAAAGCCATCATATTAAGGTTTTTAGTGTATGTTCAGCAGACACATACAGGGAACGTGTCTTTTTTTTATATTTGACATAAGAAAACAGTCCATCTAGAAGGAGGCATTGACGCTAACAACAATGTGAAGAGTCTCCAACATTCTGTCTTATAAATAAGGCTTTTTTTTGCAGGGATGTATTTATTGCTCAGTACGGCTACTGGTCAGTTGTGTATGTTTTTACTGGTGCAGTTTCAAGTAATTACTTCCCCCTGTGAGCTGGCTAATGAGGCGTAGATATGTCGCAGAGCAGCGCGCGTGTGTGTGTGTGTGTGTGTATCACCTGCATGTGTGGATGTATGCGCGGGCTTTGCCTGTGCAGGTGCTCGTTAGAACATCTCGTGACAATTAAGCTGAGCTGCACAGCAAAGCACCAACTTACTCACTTGTCACACATAGGAAAGAGCGGAAGAGTGAACAGTTGAGTGCGTGTGACAGACACAGAGAGATATTTAGTGTAACAAAAGAAAAGAAAAGAGAATTGTGAGTACGAGGGAAGAGCAGAAAGGTTGAAAATGTGACAGACAAGAAGCGTGAAAAGAGGAATGACAGGACGAGAGGAACAAACCCTGATAACTCTGACATATTAGCTAAGGAGGTGCAAGTTACAAAGGACGGAGAGAAGGATGAAAGGGTAGAGGTGAAGGCCTTTCCTGACATTTTTCTTAATCCCTCCATCAGATTTCTCATCTTCAGTTGCCATTTACCTCCATTTCGCCTACCATCCTCGTTCTCTTAAATGTAAATGTGTCACTCATAATTAGATTTTCACATGTGTAGATTCATCTTTCACTTCTCTTCTTTTTTCCTTTACCACGTCTGGCCCATCAAAACAAGATATTAAACCAGCTCACATAATAGTGGATATTCCACTCCTACTCTAGACCAGAGTGAAAAAATGTGTAACTGCAATTTTCAGATTCATGTCTCACTACCAGAAAAAATAATAATAATGAGGCTGAAGGGAAGGGAGGGGTTGCAGAAGAATACATACTGTAAAGATGAGGAAATGGGAGAAAAATTGAAATCCATCTAAGAAAAAATAAAAATCTCATTAATCTTTAAATCAAACTTAGTCTTGATATCACATAATTGATATTGTGAGATAAAGAAAACCAACATATGTAAATGATTACGTGTTCATTCTTCATGTTTCAGGTTGCTAAATGCCAACAAAATTAACTGTTTGAGAGTCAACACCTTCCAAGACCTGCAGAACCTCAACCTTCTGTCGTTATACGACAACAAGCTGCAAACCATCAGTAAAGGACTCTTCGCCCCCCTGCGCTCCATCAAGACTCTGTAAGTACAGCGAAGGCAGCATGATCGGGTTGTAAAGTCCAATTAATTGGCAGCTGACCTCCCAGACACCTCCCATGTGAGGTTTTCGAAGCAAGTTGAGATTTACGAGACCATAAGGCAGACCCAGGTAGCACTGGAGGGATTGTACGGCATGCTCCATCTTTCCTTGGAGCATCTGAGGATCTGGGCATGGGTTCCATAAAAAGTAATAAAGAATGTAGCCAGGGACTAAACTTTTACTTCTTTAAAAAGTATTTTGTTTTTGTAATAGGTCTGGATTAATGTGGGTATTAATGAGAATGAATTATTACTAATTTTGATGATATATTAATTATGTCAGTACTTTTTTTGTCCTAGAAATGACACAGCTCTCCTGGTTCTCAGCTTCCATACTATATTTCCTATTGTGTATTCATTATGTTGGGGATTTAGGTTATAGCCCGGAAAATGGGCTAATTCCAGAAATCCCAATAGCCTCGGGACATTTAAAATGCAGTGTTTTCATTATCTATGTTGTAAAATCCAAACAATGTAAAATTATGCAAATTAATATGCAATGAGAAGCATTGATAGCAGCCTCATTTTCAACCTGTGAGTTTAACAAGGGTTATCGCAAATAGTCTGATTCATTCAGCATCTGATGTTTAGATCATTTTACTTTTTACATGTAAAAGCTTGTTTTGCAAGGATTCTTCCGTTCTAATATTGGTTTCTGCTGCCTGAAATATCCCATATCTCTTGTCAGGTGTAGCGTTACAAATGTCATGGAAACAGACTATCAGAGGCAACTGCTATGATTGAGTTTTCATTTCGCATTTACATATCCAACTTCATACTCTCTGCTTTCCTATTACAGTCACCTGGCTCAGAATCCGTTCATGTGCGACTGTCACCTGAAGTGGCTGGCAGATTATTTGTTTGACAACCCCATTGAGACTAGCGGGGCCCGCTGCAGCCACCCCAGAAGGCTGGCTAACAAACGGATCAGCCAGGTCAAAGGCAAGAAGTTCAGGTGCACAGGTAAGCGAGACATTTACACCGATGCCCTCAAACACACCAGCAATGGTTTAACAGAAACATGCTTCCATTTGTTTTTTTTAAATGTATACAATAAACACATTTTCAGTGAGACCACATTAGCTCCCAAACTAGAAAGAGGTGGAAAAATTTGCATTTCAATTTGCACTGAACATTGTCCTGTCCTGGCACTTGCAAAATTGCTATATTTGTCATAAACAGCATTTCCTCATTGCACTGGTTCAATACTTATTATCTGTTTCAACTGGACTGTTTCTAAAATTATACATATTTTCAGGTGGTTGGGTTGAACACACAGAAATCAAATACTGACATTAATCACTGCATGCGTTTGATATTAGAAAATGGAAGTAAAACATTAGATTTTCAATATACTTGAGTTTGTCGTTATATGTAAATAAAAACTGAATCTGAAATTTGTTTACTGAATATGTTTATGCAGAATAACTGTTATTTTCTTTGATGTGAGGCATGGGTGTCGGTTATTACGACACAGAACGATTTAATGTACTGAAGCAAGGCCATTCCGCGGGGACTGGCTATGGTCTGTGATTGCCCACTTGTTCAAGTGAAATTTGTGTTAATTCTTTTAAGTAGGTAGAGAAATGCTTATGATTTGATTGAAGTGTCTTAAGTGTTTGTCTTCAAGTGAGAAACTGAGTGGACTTCACTTCAGCTATTCAGAGGTCACCTTGTTTCATGAATGAGTTGCTTTATGAAGAGCAAATCAAGCATAGATAATGCCAAAGCAAATATGTAAATACCAGATTTCTTTAGATTATTGTCATGATTCAAAGTGCATCGAGGTTAACCAGGTTAAAACCTTGACTTTTGGCGAGTCCTTAGTGGCATTACAAATTTCCTCAAATTGTAAAGGCTTTTGTTTGAAGTATACACAAGCTAAATTTCTGTTTACTCTTTAGAAAATAGCTCCCAAGACTTAATGCCCTCCCATTGAAGGTATACAGATTACTAGATTACAAAAGCTCCAGAAGCTGGTTATGGCTGTCGTCTTTGCTTCAGCCCTTCCTCTTTTCAGTTCCATGTCTCTCCCTGCATCTCTCTTCCTTTCTGGACCTGTGTGGACATTTTTGCTATTTGTGGGCAGTTTTTTTTCTGATCCTGCCCCCCTTCCTGTGTTGATCTGCAGCTGTTTGTTGCATCTCTATCCTGTAGGGACCCCACCCCCTCACTGATTGGTGCAGCTCTTTGTTGCCCCACCTTCCTCCTGTGTGGACCTGCATTCTGATTGGTTCGTGCAGCTGTCTCTTGTGCTTGATCTAACCATGTGGCCCCGCCTATTGTGACATCACATGGTTCCGTCAAGCGCCAGGGACCGCCAAGCACACACCTACCTGCCTCTTCCAGCCAATCACGTGTCTTGGAGCAAAATCAGGGCGTCAAACACTTTGATTGCTTGCTTGTATGTGTAGGGCTTCTGTTACCAGGCTGTAACTGTGGTTTAAAGAAATGTTCTATAAAAACATAGTCTCACATATAAAAAGACAAATTGGCATAGTAGTGAATATAAACCCCATTTTGGGATTTTCTAATCAACTAATCACATCTGCTGATCATATTTGTCTCTAAATGTTGGATTCGGAATCTGATCGTCTAGATTTTTAAAGATACGTGTCAAAAAAGGGACGTTACACTACAGTGGTACTGACAGTGGTCCATCCATCCATTTTCTGTCATTCAGTTGTCGTGAAATGAGGCCTATAAAATTAGAAAAATATATTATTACAATGACAACTTCAAGTTTTTTGTTTTTCTGTATTGTAAAATATTTTTCCACAGAGTAACTCATATTAATTTCTCCACAGAATATGTTTTAATCCAAAGTGGTCCACAATTCAAATTGTGATTTATTCTTGTGCATTGTAAGCCTGCCTGAAGTCTAATTCTTACCTTTCTTCTATCACTGCTTTGCTTACCTTTTTCTGTCTTTACAAACGTTTCTGTACTTGACCCACAATTGATTTGTGAGGACAGACGTGAGATAGATTGTTATCTTCTGCCCTTGCCTTGTGGTGGCACATGTACGTGATTGACCTCTGATACATCTACAGAACAATAGAAATAGGGTGCATTCACTCTGCTGCACAGGTCAGAAACACGTACCTTGATCCTCGACTGGTAGCATAAATATAAACTCAAGCTGTTCAACAGATGCCTCTGCTTTTTCTTTTTCATATTTTGCTTTAGGAGTCACTGAGATTACTTCATAGCCCCCCATTCATTTGAAAATTTGGACAACTCTTTTATATATTATAAGTTGGTTATATTACTGTTACGCTGAGGAAAAACGTAACTGCTACTCCAACTATGGTGGTAAAAATATATTTAATCCTTTCTGTTGTTACTTTCCTTTTATTTCCGTATTCCCCTCTTTCTTTCTAATAAACATACAGTATGAGCCAAAATGGTTAGAAGCAGAGCAGAAGCATTATTCCAAACATTCCACTATGTGGATGAAACCCCATCTGTCGAAAGAGACTGACCATATACAAGACTCAAATCAAGGTTTTAAATTGAAAGTGAACCATTAATTAGTTGTTTCATGATGACAATCATAGGAAGAATTTATGCCAGAAGAAACTGAAGATAGATTCTGCCAAAGCATAAACAGCATGATTAGAGAATTAGAGAACGCTGAAAACAGACAAAGTCAAAGCCAGAAGAAGAAGAGGTTGTGATAACCTTGAGAACTATAAAGGGAGTGCAGCATGTGGTGCACAAACAGAAGTGCTGCGTGATAGAAACCAGGTCTTCTCTACAGCCAATAGCAGTCACAAATGATATCTGCTCATATTACATCTAAATAACAGAAGTGGTCTCTGGCTCACCCTGTTAAACAAAAACATCCGGGTTTAAATCACATCCATCTACAATATGATTCCATGAAACCACCTGGATCACTGTCGGTTAATTTGATTTGCAGAGGTAGCCCTGTAGAATGACCCCTTCTTGCAACAGTCCTATGCAGGTTACTGTATAATGCTGCAGGGACAAGTGCAACCTGATGAACTAGATAGAGTTTAATGAATGATTGTTCTTCATGTCTTTCAATTGCCTGTTGGCTTACTAAGTTTTCCAAACTTTAACAGCTGAATTTAGAGAAAAAAGTACGATCAGTCCATTTGATAACATAGAAATAAGAAACAGAAAGATCAACTTTCATTTAAAAGGTTATCAATTTATGTGTCATAAAGTCATCAATTAATGGAACTGTATTCTGTTTTAAACTTCTGTGGCTGACTTCTTTTAATCAGATTTTATTTTTCTTATCTCCACTGTCTTTTTCTCCATACTACTCTCATGCTATGCTTTCCCTTCCCTTTCCTTCACTTTCCCTTGGACCTGTTGTGTGTCTGTCCTTTAATGTTTCCATTCCCCTTCCTTCTTCTTTGTATCTTCTACTACCAATTGTCCTCTGCAGGTCAGGAGGATTATCGCAATCGTCTGAGTGGTGATTGTTTTCAGGACCTGGTCTGTCCAGAGAAATGCCGTTGTGAAGGCACAGTGGTTGATTGCTCCAACCTCAAACTGACCCGAGTACCTCCACACATCCCTGAACACACCACTGACTTGTAAGTGAGCTAGTATTTGCTTTATATATGCCATTTATATGCTTTAGAAAATGTTTTTTTTCTTGAGAACAGGAAATAATCACATGTGAAAAAAGGCTTAAATGCATTAAATGTAAAGACACATAAAGGCATTTATACAATGCACATACTCCCTGTCTCTGCCTTTTTCAATGGCATATCACCAATGCCACTTTTCATCTCTGGCTCTCAGACCTAAATATTCCCCAGCAGTCTTTTCCATCTTTCTTCCAGTCCCTCAGGAGTCATCATGATGTCTGGTGAAGGATCTTACACTAGAATACAGAGTAGGTCCAGCGGATCATTCATTTCCTGCAAGAAAAAAAAGCCTCAGGAGTGGCAAATGATAAGCAACTTGACTACTGCAGCTAATATGCTCAGTATTTTGAGATGTTTAAGCACACTTAAGTCAAATACTTGATCACTGAAATATAATTTGAGTGAGATTGAAAACAAAAACATGTCATTTTGCTGCTTCTTGATTCTATGGACTGATTACTTTCTTACCAACAAAGGAAGGCTACAGATGAATTTTCTATCGTTTATTATCATTTAATTAATATTGACAGATCAATTATTTTCCTATTTTTCAATCCGTCAACAGGAATGTGAAGTAAAGGGATTATGGTAAAATGTCCACAAAGAATTTAGATGTATTTTGAGGTGAAAAGGTTTGTCTGAATTTCGTCAATTATGGTAAACCTGTAACCAACGGAACCAAGTGAAGAATGGAGCGCTTCTAGTAATTTTACCAACGTTTCTGTGGATCTATATATCCTTCCACCCCCCTACCTATTCTTTCTGTCCATTCCCACAGTGCTACCTGTCAGAAACATATACTTTGTCTTTCATGGCTGGTTAGAGGGCACATCAAAGTTTCTACTATTGTAGACAGTTATATCCCTTGTTCCTGAAGAACACAACCGTTCGGCCGGTTTTTTAAGCACACACACATACACACTGGAACACACACAGAAACAAACTGTCAACCTTTTACTATAACCTGCCTTGTCAGGGGAAATCAGAGGATATCGTGGTTGAGCTAAAGGTTAATACATCTATCTATCTATCTATCTATCTATCTATCTATCTATCTATCTATC